GTAATTTCAACTATTTTATGGTTATAACAACTATAATTATAGTCATTTTAGGTTGCCAATTATATACATTTGTTGCTGGAACTATATATATAGTTACTGTTATTATTACTATAGCAGTAATAATCATAATTATAGTAATATATAATTATAGTTACAAATACCAAACATTTTTCTCTCTATGTACGATTTAGGCGACTAGTACGCATTCGGCGACTCTCCCCTACATGATTACATATATTTTTTCAATTTATTATATGATGTTACTGCAATGATTTGTTTGCTATTTTTAATTACTAGAGTCTTCATATTAGTGATGGGCGATATAGTATCGATATTTAACAATATCGATATTTTCCGTCTTGAATATCGATATTTTGTATCGATACTTCACTTGATATTTCCATGTATCGATACTTAACTTGCTTATAACGGTTTTCGATATACTCGTGTGTGTGTTTTCTTGGGATCTAGTGCATTATATACACCTTGATTACAATGGTCATCCTGACAAAATTCTTTTTAAGGCGCTGTGCACAATAAAAGGAATAAGGAATAACGAATTTTAATCTATCAGAAATCGGATACACCAGAATACACAGTTTCTGATAGATTATAATTCATTATTCCTTATTCCTAATTCCTTATGCCTTCTATTGTGTGCAGCCTCTTAAGGTCTCTTTCACCAACCTCGGTTAAGCATTTTGGCAATCATGTAACCGACGGTTACATGATTGCCAAAATGAGGACTAAACACACACAGTTCGTCATTGGCAAGTTACCAATATTCTTGTAATAAACGTACGTAAAAAGTTATATTACGTCAGTTATTTAATATGAAAAAAAAATGATTTTTTTGCAAAAATATCTATTACAAATCGCCTTTAAACTTTAAAAACTATTTGTAAACGACATTTTTGTAAAAAAAAAACCTTTTCTTTTACACGTAACGATATGTATATCGATATTGGTAATATCGATATTTCTGCTGCCGATATTTACCAGTATCGATTCTAAGCTCCTCGATAAGTATCGATACTGCTGGCATGTATCGCCCATCACTACTTCATACATATAAAATAAAAAATATTTAATTTAATTAGGTGTCCTAATTTTCATATCTCAAGACGCATTCGGACCTTCTTTAGGACCCTTTGGCACCCTTTCATCGTTTGGTATCGTCACGTTTGTCTCGGAAGAAACGAATATTTTGTTTCGACTCCCGAGCAAAATAACAGAATTATCGAAAAACAACACAAGATAGACGTGAGTAAAACATGTAATGCGTAAAGTATATATATTAATTTAAAAAATTTTGTATATACACTATATATACAATTTTAAAAAAATTTTCAATTATATAATAAATCATCAGATAGTTTACTACTTTTCTATGTACAACTTTTATATTACATGATTCTCGTTATACTTTAATTGTGAGCTTTATTTTAATTTTGCCTTCATATCATACCACGAAAAGTCCGAGGAAAATATTTGGCGCCTTACAATATTTTTATATTAATCGTTAAATAATTATAATACACATATGATAGCAACAACATCTACGAATTAGCCTTACTATTTTTATTTGATATTGTAAAACCTTTCAACTTTCCTTGTTTCTTTATAATTATTAATTACTCATATAAATTATTATAACAATCAATCTCTTCGCAGTTACAATCGCTTTCGCGCGTCTCACTATCGCGACTCACAAATCAGCCGCGATCTTTACAAGAGTCACAATTGTCGTTGTTTCATCGCTCGCAAAGGTCACAGTTGCCACGTGGTTCACGATTGCCACAACTCAGTAATTTCACAAATCAATTACAATCTTCATCACAACAATCACAATGGAATACTAAGTTACCTACAGTCTCACGGCAATCTCATATGCAATTACCATCACCATCCAGTTTCGATTCAAATCGATTACTAGGTCAATATCAAGTTTAATTTTTGTATACACACTGCTATCAGAAATATTAATACCTATATACACCATGATGGTTTTCAATTTAATCTTTCTAATATTATCTTATATCGTAAAGTTTCTCTAATTTTCTTTATTTATATAATTGAGGGAATTGGCGGAATCAATGCACAATTCTACTTAGGCCTTTTTTCCGAAGATTAGCGCAAATAAACAAGGAATTGATGTTACTTACATTAGTTAAATATGAACGTGTTTCGATTATCCTGTGGTAAAAATGATATAATCTATGGAAAAAGGGCATAAATGATTTAAAATCATTAATGAGATTTTTACTAGAGACTGAATGAAAATGGTACGACAATAATGTGTTTTCATTACAACATATTTATGTTAAAAAAATCTTACGAAAACTCACCAGACGATGATTGAACATTATTTCAATTTATTTTATACAAGTAATAGTAAAATGTATTTCATATTCATTTTGCATTTCTTTTAGAAAAATGTAAAAATAAAAAACATTTCTACAGTTCATAGTCTTTTCTTTCTATCGATTCTTACAATATTATGATCAATATTCGGAAAAAGGGATTAAATGCATTTTTTAAATTGCAAATAACTTTTTAAATATTGATCATAATATAGAAATATTATAACACATAACGTCTTAAAGACACTATATAAATATACATTTAATACTGTTCCAATTTATATAATAATAAAAAAGTAACAAGTTATTTTAATTTTTATCAAAATCAAGATTTTGTAATTGGGCCTTTATTTCGCCAATCCCCACAATTATTGTATAATTATTAGTTATGCAAAAATTGTTATTATTAATAATCGATTCTTTGATCTAGATTCCACAGTTAGAGACAGCCCTGCAACCATCATAAATTCCCAGATTGCTGCATTAATACGTACAACTGCCGTAACAACCATGATTGCCAAATCAACTACAGCGCCTAGACTATTGACTTCTTTTTCTAAACAGTAAAAAATTTTTCATTAAATTTAACATATTTCACATGTTCCAAATTTTTGTGTTAATTTAACATAAGATGAATACGTTAGAAAGTAACAAATATTATGTAAAAAATTAAGAAGCGTAATACTTTGACAATATATATAAAAGCAAATTTTATGTTAAATTGACATATTTATAATGTTAAATTTAACTGAAATTAGATGCTATTTTTACATTTTTAATTTAGGCAAGGCCTCTGTGATATTTAATAGATACAATACATAGATTTATGCAATACAAATATTTACTGTTACAAAGAAAAAATAACACAAAATATCTGTACCCTTTTACATATAAAATATGTAACTAGCTGTACAGAACATATTTCTTCAGTAAAATTAACATTTATAATATATTAAATTAACACACAGATTTTATTCATTTATTCTTAGAATTTATGTTTTAAAACTACATTATTTTTATGTTATTCGTTTACTTACCTATAAACTGCATTATTTTAACACTAAGAAATGTTAAATTTTAATTTAATACAAATATTCAAATAACACTATCACATTATGTTAAATTAACTCGGATATATCAAAAATTCAACACAAAGTTTTAACAAGGATTCGTTTTAATATAAATACAAAATATTTTTTACCGTGTACGTTAGTATAAAGTTCAATTTTTAACTGTGAGTGTTATTCATAGACATATAAGATAGTCCCAGTATCCATGTATTTTTCTACAGTATATGCTGGGTTTGGTAGAACGGTGCGAGAGGCAAAATACCGGGACAACCTATCCTTCTCTGCGCGCGCATCTTGATATTTATATTACTGAAAAGAATAAAATATAATAAGATATAAAAGTAAGGGTAATACTCAAGAATTCTACCTTCCTCACCGATTTTGATGAAATTAGAGCAGAAAATATTTATTCTAGTCTCGCTTACGTGTTCTCATATTTCTATGCCATTGATGTGACAGATTTCCTAAACTAATAGTCGTTAACTTTAACGATTAATATCTCGGTCTACGAGGCAGAGCGTCACTTTTTTTGCCATTTCGTTCATTTCGTGCAAAAACGCATTGAATGAGCCTAATTTCGCAAAAATCGATGAGGAAAGTAGAATTCTTGAGTATTACCAAAGTACGTTTACTCTCAAGATGCGCGCGCAGAGAAGGATAGGTTGCCCCGATATTTTTCCTCTCGAACCGTTCTGCCAAACTCAGGTATATATAGCTATATATAATGCTGGATCTATCTTATATGTCTATGGTGCTATTATTAAAACACATTAATATTTATATATTGGTTTTGAAATTGATTCTTTTATTAGCATTGTACATCGTAAGATCTTCCAACCTTCTTCATTTTTTAATTTTTATTATGAAATTTATATATCTATTTTAATACTATCAATAATTTTCTTTTTACAGATTTCCTGCAACTCATCCAAATCCGCGTGAGTCTGATGTTTAAATGTTGAATGGTTATATTATTATAAGTACATGACAAACTGTATAGTCTCATTATAATTTTTAAAATTGCTGCGGTAACAGATTGTGAAATGTTTCAATCTATTATAGAAAATAAGTTTCACGTTACATATAATTTTATTAAAAATATAGTATTTTTTATTAAATTGATTGTATAATGTAACAATGGAAAAAATTAGTAAACTAATTAAAGCCCGAACCGGACGTACCGATTCGACCGTAGCGCGTTCCTTACGAATCTCCTAACTGCCCGAACCCGACGAAGTCGAATGGCAAGCGAACCAGCAGTGAAGGATGAGGTATAGTGGAAAGTAGCTATACGGTTGACGCAATCTCAGAACTTTTTTTTTTAATCCAGGCTCTAACTTATAATGTTATGTATCTATTATAAATTTAATAATTTAATATTAATACAATTAATATTAATTAATATAATAATACAATTAATATTAATTAATATATTAATTGTAATCATTAAAGGATAATTAACATATAAATTAATTTTCAAGAGATTTAGATAATAACATTCATTATACAAAATAGATTACAAGTAATTAAAATTAAATAATTGCAATGATAAAAGTGTAGTTTAGAATTAAATATTATAGATTAAAATATTAATGAACTAGAATATTAACAACTTAATATTCTTCAATAATAATAATTCCCGTTAAATTTTAATAAAAAAAAATAAAAGATGAGACTGCTTTATTCATGAGTTTACTGTTTAGAAGAAAATTTTAATATGTATATTTGAAAATTTAATATTAACAAATTTACAAAAAGTAATGCACAAATTAAACCTACATTATAATGATAAATCATATAATTAATTAATGACACATTCTAAAAATAAATAATTTTCGATCAATAATTAAGCTGCACTTTATTTCTGCTTTCTTAAAAATAGAAATTTCAGCTAAGTGATGCACAACTGTAGAATAGAATTTTCCTCAAATAAAATTTCCTCAATAAAACATAAAATTAAAAAAAATTATTAAAAGGAATAAAACATTAAAAGAGTAACAAAATGAAATTCTTAACTATAAAGAGACATTTTCTTTTTTAAATAATATAACAGTGAAACAAATTCACTTGCAGATTCTTCTGTAATATGGAAAATAAGTCCTATAGATTTGATTCAAAAAATTCTCGCTGAATTATCCTCGAATGTTTGAAAATTAAGCACTGCTTTCGTGGTTCATTAATTTCCAAGATAGTTTTTCTCGAGGGGGTAACCACTTAAATGTAATCGTAGGACAGAGTCCTCGAAATCATTATAAAATTCATATGAAATATCTCTATGTATAATCCGATAATTACATATGCAACCACGAGAAATCATTGTATAATATTAAATAAAATCGTATATTTTATCAAACTCCATATGTAGTGAAAAAAATTATTTGTAATCATATGAAATCAAATGAAATCATGTAATCTGTGGGACAATATTTCAACTAGTGGTTACCCTCTCGGTTTTCTATCTTATTCGAATCTTTTTATTTTGTATTGCAATATATAATTATAAAAGTTACTATCATTTATATTTATACTTTTTTGGAAGATATTACATCTACATATTTTTATTACATGTTTCTATCTCAAAAGAATAATTTTCATTTGATTATCAGTACTATTTCCCCGCACATGTGCATCGACATAGAACCTCTTTATGGCAAGGTACGATGTTATCTGCGCGACAAGGCTAACGAGTTGTCTCCGATCCTTCGCGCTATTGCTCTCTATTACGATTGGCCTCTCCCTCTGCCTTTCGCCGACGATCGCGGGAACTCTATCGCGAACCGTTTCCGTATTCCGGACCACCGGGCGAGGGAATTATCTTGGAATAGCACCGGTCGCTGCCTATAACTACCTCGCGAGCGGGATCGACTCGTGCGCGCGGTCGGCTTTGACAACGGTTAAGTATCGCCGTCGGTTATCTGCGATAACACAAAGGAGCGCGCGATATCTTGTTGTGGAGGGACCGAAAGGAAATTTACTCTCTTTCTCTCTTTCTTCGGCAAATCTCCGATTCGACTCAAAGAATACCTCGATCTGCTTCGAACAATTCCGGATAGTGTAAGATCGGATATCGTACAAGCTAATGGAACAAGACGACGATTTAAAGCGTCGAACCGGCTGATTAGACACTTGCGGTCTCGCCTTAAGAAACGGAATACAGCATGAACTGTGCTTAGGCGGTCTACCATTTTTTGTTGACCACATTAAACGTTTACTTTTCAACTCCTTATTATTTTTTTTTATATTTATGACTCGATCTCACTATGTTGTTTACAAGTGATGTCATGTGATGATATAACTTCGTCGAGATATTCGCTTCGAATACGTGATTACAATTTTCTTTCATTCTTCTAATATCGCAAAAAACTGAAATAATCTACATTCCTCCTAACTTTTTGTCCTATAGAGAGTATATATAAAAATCAGAAAGATCATTATAAATCCAGGCTTCTGATTCCTCGTTGTATAAAAAACTGCGGTCTTTTTTATTTTCCTGGCGTGGCTGTGAGACGAGATATAAATTATGTTTATCTTCCCGAACAAAATTTGAAAAAAATAGATATCGGTAACACAATTAATTCTTATCTATGAAACGTGTAAAACGTTGCGCTAGCTAAATATACGGGATACCATTTCCGCCGTTGGCTGACTGGACGATGGTCGGAGCGAAGGCACATGTACGACGAGTTCATCGACAATTTTATACCCGGTGGTTCATGTGAGGCCAAAGGCTAGCGAGTTATTAGCAGAAAATTACCGAGCGCTCGCGGTCTATTACGCGATACACGCCGAAGTGTCGCGCTTCGTCTCGGGGCCGTGAGAGAGTGATGCTTTGACTATCCCGTGTACCATGCCAGGAGCACAAGAACACAGCCTGTTTCTAGCCACAACTATCAATCGACGACGTAGGATCCAATTGTTCAACAATATCATTATCGCGATCGAACAACGCGTCGAATGGACACTGTGGTTATAATTCTTATCTCATATATGTGCCTAGTATCTTTCGAGAATTCTGCAATTACAAGAAAGTAATAAATCAAACATCCCCTCTTTGAAAAAGAATTTTTAAAACAAAAATTCTCGCGCGACCTAATCTTCTTTTACTGTTGAAACACATCACTGTTTTAAAACGGGCAAAGGTTTACAAAGGAGGATATTAAAAAGAGACCGATTTTTGCTCACAAAGATGTAAGTAAAAAGAGTAGTAATTCTTATAGATTTCGACCTCCTGAATGAAAAAGTTCGGGATCAATAGGGCACACCTTGAAAATTAAGCATGAACATAATATATTTAAACAAATTTCAATATTCTTGCTTACTTTTCAAGATGTTCCCCAAATGCCATGAACTTTTTAATAATTTTATCATATTCAGTAAGTCAAAATCTACAAAAAATATTATTTCTTTTACTTACATCTTTTTGGGCAAAACTCTGCCCTTTTTGAAGGATATTAAAAAATGTCCGACTTTTGCCCAAAAGAATGTAAGTAAAGAAAC